TTTCGTATTGACATTATCGTGACTGCGTAACTCGTGATACAGCTTGCTGTGACAAACACGATGATGAATAATATTTTTATTATTCCTTAAGTAAGTAAGTAAGTAGTAGAATGGTTTACTAGCGCTTCAGCTACCAAGATATTTCGCACCGGAGGTCAAAAGTTTACATCGCCAGCGAGGCGAAAGGTCTCAGTTATTCAGAGTCTCGAATTATTCACCACCCACAAGGGGTGGAAGGTCTCAGATGTCCAGCCCGCTGAAGCTGGCTCGAAAGAAGCAGCGTTAGCATCTCAAAGAGACGAAGTGACAAGGAGGGACAGGTGAAAAGCAACAGAAACTAAGACACTCGAACAAGAGGTCGCTTACACGGGACGTCGGCTGCCCGCACGAGAGAGACAGAGAAGGGAAATGTTAGGAATCCTACCTACATAATAACTTAATGTAAGGAATCCTACCTACATAATAACTTGACCCCACAACTGAGACCAGCAGTCAGACACCGCGAGCTCAGCGGTGGGGCGCTCAGGAATCCCCCTAGCAGCGCGAAATCCCATAGGACTTCAGGCGAGCACAGACACGCGTCAAAGTCCCACCTGAGGGGTATTATTCCTTAACGTTATGATTGACTTTATTGTGGGGAAATGCAAATATTATATCTCGGTATCGATAGTGGTTCTATACTTGCAAGAATGCGCATCCGGCCAAAATGTAGAACACTCACTGCGCGATTAAGTGGAACATTCACTTGTGTGATATATTTCTAAGCACCTTTTTATCTTAATGAATCCCACTTTATTATTCCAGAGGACGAAAAATTCTTGCAACTAGCTAAACTATTAGGACAACTTAATTTGAATCATAAATTATAAAATTTTGCTTCATGCCCAAAATCTTCATTAAAAACGAGTTTAATTAGCGAATTCTTTCCAAAATTTAAGAGAGGGATCCATCTGCTTCATCAAATCAACAACATACATCCGCATTTGTTGTCAGTTGGTTAATAATTGATCTACCACTTGGTATAGGTATACACTTGCCTACTACCGTCTTATACGTACACCATCAATCATTGTCTCCATCCATCATCATCTACTCCCATCATTGACTCAACCCATCGTAACCTCCTGAGGTATCTTGTTGAGTAATAAAAATCGTTCATGATCTCGAAAATGGTCACTACCGCAGGATGGCAATCACTATGGAACTAAGGCAATCACTATGGAAACATTGGAAACGAATGTTTCAAAATTTCATTACCGATTGTGGAGCAAACGCCCCGGACAAATTGCGAACGTTGATTAATTATTTTTCGCACACTGTCTTCGACCTAATTGATGGCTGCGCAACCTACGAAGATGCCATACGAATCTTGGAAGCTTCGTTCATTATAACTCCCAACGAAATATTCGCGAGACACCTCCTTGCAAGTCGTGAACAAAAAGCATCCGAATCATGAGACGAATTCCTCAGAGAACTGAAACGACTTTATAAAGACAGCAACTTTAAATCTGTGACTGCAGAGCAGTATCTCAGTGAAATGATCAGGGAAATGATTTATTAAAGGCATCAACTCGCCTAGCATTCGACACCGCCTTCTAGAGAACAGGACACTTGACTTTACAAACAGCAAATGATCAGGCTTATGCCTTAGAGTTAGCACATGAGAATGCCGAATCCTTTACGCCGCCCAACACGAATACAGTTGCAGTTATTTCTAACTCGGACGGATTGCTTGAAAACGATGTTCAAAATCCAGTTCTTCCGGTGGCTGCTTTATCTACGGCTAAGAAAAAGTGCTATTTTTGTGGTAACTTATTTCACAAACGAACTGTCTGTCCAGCAAAGGACGTCGCTTGCAATTCCTGTGGAAAGAAAGGACACTTTTCGAAGGTTCGCAAAAGCAAGAGTGAAGGCAGTAAAATGTGCTCTAGCAATTATTCATCTGCGATGCTTGCATCTATATCGTATCCACCGAGCCTCTCTACGTAAAGCTTGAACTAAAGTTAGTATTAACGGTCGTACAATTGTTGCATTGATTGATACCGGCAGTTCTGAAAGCTTTGTCAGTGCCGATGCTACTCGGAAACTACAGTTAAACGTAATGTCTTCGGACAAACAAATTACAATTACAAAAAGTGCGCCGGGACGACTTCTGGTGATCTATGAGAATCTATGTTGTGAGCTATTGCTTGGCCAAGATTTCCAGCGCCAACACAAGTCTTTTTATAGAATACGGTGGTCCAAAACCACAGTTTCACGTTGGAACGGAAGATTTTGTGACCGCACTCTAGTCAGCAAAGGTAGAAGAGCCTTCACTATTTCCTAATCTGACTTCAAAATGTAAGCCCATAGCAACTAAATCCCGTCGCTTCAATTCAGATGACCAACTGTTTGTCAAGGACCAGGTATCGCGCCTCTTGGATGAAGGAATCGTTGAAAGCAGCAAATCATCTTGGAGAGCTCAGGTTGTGGTTGTGAAAGACGATAAGCGCAAACGACGACTCTGCTTTGATTTTTTACAAACTATCAATCTATACACGGAATTGGATGCCTATTCTCTCCCAAGAATAGACGACATGATCAAGCAACTTGCTGGTTACAACGTATTCTCGACCTTTGCCGTCAAAAGTGCTTACCATCAAATTCCCATTCGAACGTCAGACAGAAAGTTCACAGCATTTGAAGCGTGCGGAAGATTATATCAGTTTTGAATAATCCATTTGGCGTGACTAATGGAGTGGCTGCTTTTCAGACGCAATAGTCGAAGAAGAGAAACTCCAATACTTACCTCTATCTGGATAACGAACAATCGCTGGGCACAATCAAGCTGAACATAACAAGAACGTGGATAGGTTCCTCTCGGTCGTTAAAAGCAGAAATCTTGCATTAAACGATTCAAAGACTATAAAATCGGTTAGCTCAATCAACATACTTGGCTACAACGTCGGTAACGGCAGCGTAAAACCCGACGCCGAACGTCTGCGCCCGCTTCAAGAATTTCCGCCACCTTCGAACCTCGCTTCTCCGAGGAGAGCAATGGAAATGTTTGCTTATTAAGCTAAATGGATCCCAAATTTTTCCAATAAAATTCAGCCTCTTGTAAAGAACATAACTTTTCCCTTGGGTAAAAAATCTCTTGATGCTCTCAACCCTTTGAAGCGGGAATTAATGAATGAAACTTTGCACTCGATTGATGAAAATTTACCATTCGTAGTAGAGTGCGATGCCTCGGAAGTGTCAATTTCAGCCATCCAGAATCAAGGTGGTCGCCCCGTTGCCTACATGTCCAGGACGTTGCAAGGGAGTGAGTTGCACCATCAAGCAGTTGAGAGTGAGGCAACTTCTATCATTAGAGCGGTACGTAAATGGAGTCACTATTTGGCACTAAAACCCTTCACTTTGGCAACTGACCAGCGATCTGTAGTTTTTATCTCGAAAACAGGAAAAGAAAGAAGATTAAAAACAACAAAATCCAACAGTGGAGGCTGGAGCTCGCCTCGTTTAGCTACACTATTATGTATCGGCCCGCTATAGCTACAGAGACTAGGAGCCGAGCCTCATGATGTGCCCCATCATTTCCAACATCCAACTCAACTTAGACTGACATTCACGATGGATTGTGTCATCCTGGAGTGACAAGGCTCCTACACTTCGTCCATTCTAAAAATCTGCCATTTTCAACCGAAGACGTGATGAGAGTTTGCTGGACTTGTAAAGTGGGCGCTGTTCGAAAAAACCTCGCTCCTATAGACCGCCCGAAGGAACTCTTATTCGTGCGACTCAACCAATTGAACGCCTGAGCATTGATATTAAAAGGTCCTTTGCCCTCCGCCACACGCAACACTTATATGCTCACTGTGGTCGACAAATTCTCACGCTTCCCATTTGCTTTCCCTTGCGGCTTGCCCCGACATGTCTACAAGAACGGTTATTACATGGTATTAATTCAACCATGGGTTATTAAGTGCCTAGAATCGTTGTTCGCCCTTATTGGCATGCCAGGCTATATTCATTCTGACAGAGGAGCAGCGTTTATGTATCGAGAACTGAAGGCATATTTATCCCAGAAAGAAGTTGCGACGAGTCGGACAACTCCCTACCGGGAATGGTAGGAGTTTCACGCTCACAGTACCGGGAATGCCCTATGTGAGCGTTACCGTGTCTTCGGAGCCTGTGCAACCCGTGCAAGAAGAGAAGCCACTGTCTCCCATAATCCGAAAGTCAACTCGTCCACGAAGACCTCCTGAATGTTATCGCTATGAATAGACGAAGCTGCGAATAAACAAATACTTTTTTCTGTAATGATGATCACTTCTATGTTTAGTTATATTGGTTTGTAGCCTGCGACTGATAGTTTGTTTTAGCAACAAAATTTAGAAGGGTAGAATGTCTTAATATTGAAATAGTTTTACCAAGTCACAATACGACGTAATGTCGCTCGACTCCACAGTCCACACTCCAGAGTCCAGTGTTCGTTCGCAGTCTCTTTGCTGTAACTTGTATCCAGTATGAACAAATCTCTCTTCTGTTATACATTGTAAGTGTAGTTGCATTGTAGTCTCTTGAATAATACTTGTGTTATGTTATATTGTTGATTAGTATTTTACATCGATCATTATTCTTCCAGGTAACTGGGCATTTGTTGAATAAAGCTTGGCTTACCTAAGTTTATTTCCTCCCTGATTCCACAACAGTTACTAGAGTCTAGCAACTCTGCAATGAGGATTGACGTCCCGCGCAACTCTGATTGACCTTCAAATTTCTTCAAGGTTGCAAGTTATATCCCTGTAATGGGGTAAAACATCTCACTGCCCTAAACAATGAAGTAGTTACGGTTTACGTTGCGTGAAATTTGCTCATTGAAATCGACAAAACAATTCAATAAACAACAATTGAAGTCTATTAGGTTTACTTAATTCAAAAATATAAAGACATGCAATGTCTTGGCATTCATAAAATGTACTGACAGTGAACATTTTCCCTAGCCTAGGGCAAAGGTATGTGCTCACTCGAACATTCTACAATCTTAGGTCAGGTACAGCTGACACTAGTAAGCCGGTGTTGATCTGTGTGTGAAAGCAGGTGGTATTCGTTGCCATCCCTGAAATTTGATCTACCATTTTCTGATCGAGCAGAACGATCATGGCGTTGAATAAGCTCAGCATCGATAAAGTCGATCTCAAAGGCAAGAGGATATTTATGAGGTAAGTTTCAGTAAATATTAAATTTGAGAAGTTTGGTACCTATTGGTGGAAATGGTGGTTAGTGAAAAACTGCTAAACCTAAACTCTAAAGCATAGTGAAAACTGATAAATATGATTTTCAGAAACTGGACAATTTTAGTGTCTAATATACTTTGATAAATTAAATCAAGATTTCTGTTCAATATCTTGTGTATGATAAAACTAGCATCTATAGCCTAATGGGTTAATGGTGATGATGCTTCCTACCATTATTAACCCTTTCGTGACGGCAATGTGTTCTACAACTTTTTATTCGTATTTTTCTACAGAATCATCATGAACTTGGACCGAATTTTGCATCTCCGTAAAAAATAATTCAACATATGTTAATGGTAAAAATTATATATTTGGGATCAGAAAATCCCGGTAGTATATGGTTTCAACTGAGGTGACACAATTTGTGACATCACTGAGTTTGATAAAAAAATTATTTTCGGAATATTTTTTGTTAGTAGTTGAATAATATCACAAACTTCCTTTGGCAAACGCGTGTAATAGCTTATATAATAACATATCCCAAAAAGAACAAATAATAATATTCTTTAGATTGGACATATGTAGGCGCAGGAGTGTTTCTAATATGTCCCTGTAGTTAGCTATGCCTTGAATTTAGCGCTACATGCAAGTTATAGAGTAAATCGTTGGGCGGGACGTCACAGTCCCGTCAGTCAATTACTTTTGAGTTGACATGGGCGCAGGAGCGTTACTAATGTGTCCCTGTAGTTAGCTATGCCTCGAATGGTGCGCTGAATGCAAGTTATGGAGTAAAACATTGAGTAGGACGTCACAGTCCCGTCAGTCACGAAAGGGTTAAGGCATTATAGCCTTAGAGGCTTAGCCTACCTGCATACCTACTGGTCTTGTACTTGTAGGATGCCTACCAGGTATAGTCAATAATAACTTCATTAGTAAGCCTAAATAGTAAATAAGGAAGGTCAACAAAATATTTCATTCACTACTCCAAATTTAATTTAAGGGATTACAAATGTCTTTGAAATTTTGTTATATTCAAATTCAGTAATTTAATGTAATTATAATTTTAATGATTGAATTTTGTTTACTAACAGATTATAAAGCAGGGTAGATTCAAAACATGTGACAAATCTTTTTTCATTAATCTAATTTGTTACCAGTATGGACACTTATAATAGGCTAACTACCGTCAACCGGGGCTACTCGGGATGGGCGGGGTAACTCGGGATAGTCCTCCAACACAGCCACACTCAGGATGATGTATGTTTTCGGTGAATTTTCCCGCGCATTTTCACTTTTTTTAAGGCCTGTAGTCACAGTGCGGCGAAGTCCGTGAGCGAGAAATTCGCGACAACGATGTGGAACCCTTGTTCTGTGTTCAGATCGGCAAGTTGCTGCGCTCGAGCTTGTTGCCTTTGTAATATGATACCTGAGCCAGCACCCATCTAAGGGGCTGCGGCCGAAATATTTTGTTACAAAATATCTACAAAATAGAGGTTGATTTAGATATGTCTTTAATACCGATCAATAGAGAATAAATAGTACTACATCCTTGTGTCTCACAAAATTAGGTAAGTCGCATATAGTATAATGAACATTGATTGAGCGATGTACAACATTTTCCTCTATCATAACTAATGCTAGACAAAATATACATATTTTTTGTTACTGTAGAGAAATTGTAAATAAATAGCTGAATGAGCATGAAAAAATTTAGATTGATATTTTATTTACGAGCGGAGTTATAATGACTATACGTAGTGATAGATACCCATAGGGATTCAGCCAAGCCTGCCTGAGAGCTCGCGGCTTTCAACCACCACCTTAAGCTATTGCTGTGCACAGTTCGCGCAACGTAATGAAAATTGATTATCTTCGCGCATGTGTTTGCGCAATCCCGGCCATCTTTATTTTAGAAGAAATTTTTTTCCAAAGTCATATGGCAACACTGAACACCTTCTGTTTACATTTCGTATGTATAACAGCCGCAGTTTACGATTACCGTACGTTCCATATCTGACAAGGCGGACAATCGGAAGAGTCAGAAGTAACCTGGACATGTCTTACATTTTATTATTGTCAGTTCGACTCGCGTTGTCAATATACTCGCGTATATTGTTGTCTAAAATAGTAGAACTATTTTAGCTTTCTAAAGTACGGCGCACGGCGCATTTTTTTACCAACGTAGTACGGCGCACCGCGCAGGTTGTTAAAATGACAAAATAAATTCCCGCGCACCTGGCACATCTTCCTGACCATGGCAACACAGCATCAGCGTAAAACTGTTTTAGTAGCAAAACTAGGTAATTGGAATATTGCAAAACTAAATATAGTGGTGTAAGCGTCAACATTTTTCCTATCTATGTAGTATAAAGGAAGTTCAAAAATACTATATTTACTAGCTTTGAAAAATTCCTGAAAAAAATGGTGGAAAATGATATTTTGAAAAGTTACTTCTGCTAAGGTCTGTAGTAAAAAAAGATTTGCCTTATTAAAAAATTTTGCTCAGAAAAAAGTGGCAGACAAGTGACAGTGTCAGTATGAAAACTTTATTTGCGGAATTTACATACTTGTCCCGAGTAGCCCTGTTGAACGGGGCTACTCGGGACACTCTTTGCTTCTGGCACCTTATGAATAGCATATGGAACTTTTTTGGAGAAGCCATGTGATAGCCCTTGCAAAGAGCTTTGAAATGAGCCTAAACTTGTTTATGAAATGTTTCATGGGAAGAAGTTATGAATGAAAAACTTTTGAAATCATCCCGAGTAGCCCCAGTTGACGGTATCACTGATAGTTATCAGACTTAAAAGTTGGACCTGAATTAGGAATTTCAAGGCTAATTTAGACATAATTCAGAATGCTAGAAAAATCAACCTTTTTTACTGAAACTTTGTCTTACCAGTCATTTTTTCATTTTTGGGGAATTCAAATTTCACAGCTCAATGATAAAGTTGTATTAGCAATTACATCAATTGAGTGAGAAACTGAGAATATTTATCAACTGTTCTAAACTGAAAAATTTTGCAGATACCACCCATAAATAACAGGAAAATGTGGTCAATTTCACCTATCCCACAGTAGCCCTTGCCCCTAGGCTAATATTTTCTTGATCAAAAGGATAGTCTTTTAGATCTGTGAATAACCAACAACCAGAGGATTGTTGCTGTCGACTGAGTGTCAAGAAAAGTACAAGAATTGGCAACAGGCCTATCCAGGCCTATTTTTCAATGCCAAATATACTATACTAAACAAATTATGAGGAGCAAATTTTGCCTGTAATCTTTGAAAATCACCCATAAAACAATCTTTTTTGTTCACAATCTTGCTAGCTTTATATCTGGCATGCTAATCTACTTACAAGTTTCAACTATGACAATGTCAAGTGAAACCTGTTGAGTGTGGAAATATTAGTCTGAGCAAGGTACTGAAGTGCCTAATTTTGAATATTCCTGAAAAAACATATATGCAAGCTCAATGAGTTTTCCAATAGAAGTAAAATTTGTGATTTAACCCTTTCCACCCGGCTATATGATGGAAGTTATTTTATGTGTATTTTTTGTGTTAATTATGCTCTATGGACCTCTATTATAGTTTCTATGCTACTAAAATATAAAAAAATCAATTAATATAAAAAATAGTGATCCGGGACTCCAGAGTCCTGTCAGGGCTCCCGGTACATGACATAATCATATAGGATATATAGCCATCACACGCGATCCCTTGTATTATGCTCCAAGATCTGTACAATATGCACTTATTAACAATAATAATGTAAAATAAAATACTTTTTTCAGTAAACATTTTTTACTTACAAAAAAATAATCTGAATGAAATAATAATTTATGACGTAGAATAATAACTTTGGCTTATGTGACAAGGTGAGATAAAATCATAACTGAATACATCATATTTCCTTTATCGCACGCGCATTTCCATGCTTCCCTAGCTACTTGTGAAACTCGCCAAAACAGTTTTTTGATGTTGCAACAAAGATGAACGCCACATTGAGAACATTTTTATAATGGACGTGATTCCACTTTATCCAGGGAGCAAACTTCACAACGACCACGAATGTTTGTGAACAGGGGCCAGTGATTTCCAAGGATGCTCAACTGCACGGAGTCTGGTGTCGAGAATTTTCCTTTTTTCCTCTTGGCATGATGGGTGCATGAATGTTCTGTATATGCCAGGAGTTCTCATGCTATTTCTTGTCAATAGTCCAAGAGGGAAATGGCAGATTGACAATGTTCCTTGTGAATGAGGAAGCTGTTCACGATTGTCATATCTAGAAGTCTGAAGAATATGTAATGCCACCATTTCAAGCTCTTCCTATTGATGCCATAGATTTGCCTTAGCATGTCATGCTTATCAACACCCCCCATGTGTTTATTATAATCTTTTGCCACCACTGGACAGGTGACGACCGTTTTTGTGCCAGTTTTGTCCTTCCTTTGCACAGTAGAAGCTCAACTCCGTGATAGTTGGAAATGAAATGTACTGGTTTTGTATCCTTCCGCTTGTAAACTGTTATTCCTGCGGGAGTACTGCGGTAATCAAAGTTTCCTCATTTCAACTCTTTATCAGTAGAAAACAAGGGGAAGTTTTTGCAAGTTGGACGGGTTGTACCACGTGCATTTATGTTCATGGTCTTCAAGGTTTCAAGCAGGGGAATAGATGAAAAAAAGTTATCGAAATAGAGCTTGTGGAAGCGGTTCTTCAATGATGCGACAAGAGATGTAACAATGTTTCCATCAAGGCTAAGGTTATTATTGACCATTTTGTCATCTGGCTGCCGCTTTCCACAATAAATGAAAAACTTGTGTATGTATCCAGAGTCATCAGCGAGACACCATAATATGTATCCTCGCTTTATGGGTTACATTGTGTTGTATTGCTGAAGAGAGCTCCTTCTCTTGAATTTGATCATGGACTCATCCACAGACAATAATTCTAGAGGATTATTTACTGTGGAAAATTGTTCATGTAGTTTTTCAAGATACGGTCTCAATTTGAATAACACGTCGTGCTTATTTTCATTCAGTTTTGCATTGTCGTTTAGATGCAGACATCCTAGAATTTCAACGAAACGGTCATGAGACATTGCTGCTTGAATGATAGGTACACTCATATCTTGAGATGAGGACCAATAATGTCAGAGGTGATTTCTTCTATTGTAGCCCATCACAATGTTGATTCCAATGAATACTTTTATTTCATTTTTTGTCACAGAAGCAGGCTTCCTCTTTTGTACACTTTTCAAATTAGTCTGGAAGTGAATCATATCAAGAAGATCCTCATAAAAAATGCAAAAAACATTGAGGGCGCATGCAAATTCATGACTTGGTTTGGGATGCGCGACAAACTCGTGGACAATTGATTTTTCTTCTTTTTTCTCCATTTTTGTGGATGTACACCTATCACAGGAGTCTCAGAAGCTGCATCAGTAGGTATAATCTTGGCTTGTTCATCCAATTCAATGATAATGGGTTCATCTTCGGCTTCCGCATCTAATCTGTACACGATATGAATGGTTTCTGTGGGGTCTCGATCATCAGGCTCAATCAGTCAATGTCAGTATCTTTGTCAATGTCAGTATCAATTTCGTCCTACAGATGAAGCATTTCATTGGCTTCCAATGACCGATTGGCCATGTTTCAGGAAGAAGTGCTCAAGTCTGAAAATAAAATAAGTTACAACATAAAAGTGCCGTGGTGTAAAAAAAATGAATACGAAATTGATGGGACCAGTATGAATTGGAATTCTCAGTGGTATTCCTACCTAGTAACACAAACGACACACGACTCCTACTGGGACTATCAGGTCCCGGTTCTCCTGGCAGGACTTGCAGGTCGTTTTACTAATTTCTATTTTTTACATCAAAAACAGTCTTCCAAATATATTTATTTGTTATATTTTGTTAGAATATAAATTTTTTTACAAAATAAAACAAAAAGTAACTAAATCCATGTTGAATATAAACAGTTATGATGAAATATTCTGAGAGAAAAAGGAAACTTACTGTCATTCTCAGCCGGCTGATGCAATTGCCTTAGAAATCTCACTGGGTGAGCCGGTGGCCAATTAGTAATTTTCTTGAGGTGTATAAACAAATGTAGAAGTCCCGTTAGGTGCCTGGACCTAAAATTCCTTCTGGTATGTATTTTAGAGCGTGAAACTTGAGGCGGGACTTGTGAGTCCCGTCAGTGGGGAAAGGGTTAAATATATATACGGTAAATGTTATACAGTAGCAGTTTGCCTATCATGTTTGTATACTCAATATGGATTCAGCTGCAGCTGTGTCACTTGTCAGTCACTTGCTCAATGAAGAAATATCAGCTGAGTTAGGGAGGGTAATAGCTATTCAGCTCTTTTGTCCAATATGTTCTGTACCTGTTTATTTATTACCCTGATTCTACCCTGCCTCTGAAGGCATCAAATTTAATCCTTGTGCTCAAGGATGCTGCATACTAAGCCTTCAATATGATGATTCCTGCAATCTGTAACCAGTAAAAGTTATGTGCATGATTTTAACCTAATTTTTCAGGGTAGACTTCAATGTGCCTATGAAAGATGGGGCAATAACCAACAACCAGAGGATTGTTGCTGCCCTAGATTCTGTGAAGTATGCCTTGGAACAAGGGGCCAAGAGTGTGGTCCTGGGATCACACCTTGGGAGACCTGATGGTGAGTTCTCAAATATTAAGACCTTAGTCTTTCATAAATAATGACCACCATCTTGTAGAACTGTATATTAAATAAATTTAAATTTAAATATTATAAAATTATAATTATTGATGTTATATATGAGAATAACAAATTTTAATAATTTGTAAAAATTTGTTTTCTTTTCCTTGATTGTGCAGGCAATCCTAACCCAAAGTACACACTGAAGCCTGTAGCTGCTGAGCTGGAGAAGCTGTTAGGCAAGCCTGTGCTATTCCTATCTGACTGCGTTGGTGCGGAGGTGGAGGCGGCCTGTGCAGACCCTGCCCCGGGCTCTATCATCTTGCTTGAGAATCTCCGCTACCATGTAGAGGAGGAGGGCAAGGGCGTGGATGCCTCTGGCAACAAAGTGAGTGTAGCCTCTTCTTGTTTTGTAGTGGTGAGCTTGATGTTTGTGAACTAAAATCAGAAATTTTCGAAGTGTGGAACACTTTTGTCAGTTATCACAAATAAGATGCAAGTCATGCAACATCATGTTCTGATTTACTGCACAGTAATTATTCATAATTTTGTTGTTTTTGAAATCAATTTGACTGATTGAGACAAAAAATATTATTCAAATGAAATATGAATTACAAGTGTTGGAATCATTTGTAGAAATTTTATAATGGTAGGAAATTTGGCATCTTCAATTCCATTGCTATTGTAGTAGTATCAAAATATCAATATGATTCAGCTATATGTGTAATTGATATTTTTTTGCGCACTGAGTTCAATATATTTCCTTAACATCTGATCATACATTTGCTTCTGAAGTATCAACTGCTTTCCTTGCACATTTTGCATAAAATATATCACTATGTTGAAAATAAAGCTATCACATCATCTAAATGTATATTACTATGCATAGTTAATTGAAATTTACAATGTATTTCACTGTATTCTGTAGCAATTTTTTTCAACTTCTCATCTTATGACCAACCTCTCATGCCATGCTTCTTTTATACTTCTCACTTTTACTTGCTTTCATGCCTCACATAACCATCTCGTGCATTACCATTGTACATGGCACCACACTTCTATCCTCTCATTCCTAACATCCATCTTCTCATGCCCAACATCCATTTTCTCAAACCTCACTATCATACAGCCTCTCAAGCTTTTCTTCCACTAACTTTCACCCCTCACTCCCTGACACTTCTAAATATCTCACTCTTAGCCACTTTTCACCCATCGCTCTCCCCCACCTGCCACCAGGCTCACTCCCTCCCTCCCATGCCCCAACTTATCACTACCATCACCTCGTGCCCCTCACCCACGCTGCCGTTGCAGGTGAAGGCCGACCCGGCGAAGGTGTCTGAGTTCCGAGCGTCGTTGCGGCGTCTGGGCGACGTGTACGTCAACGACGCTTTTGGCACGGCCCACCGCGCACACAGCTCCATGCTGGGCGAGGGCTACGACACGCGCGCCTCCGGATTCCTGCTCAAGAAGGAGCTCACCTATTTCGCTAAGGCCCTTGACCACCCCGTCAGGTATCTCAACAGTTTGCACTGCTTGTTTCATTGCCATTATGCTCATCAAAAATGAACACCACTTTATTTTGATAATAAAAATAAAGGTTTAATTTACGCTTTGTTGTGCAGGCCTTTCCTTGCCATCTTGGGCGGAGCTAAAGTGAAAGACAAGATCCAGCTGATCGAGAACTTGCTGGACCAGGTCAACGAGATGATGATTGTGGGCGGTATGGCCTTCACCTTCCTCAAGGTCATCGACGGCATGGAGGTCAGGCTTCTTTCTCTGGTGCTCCTTCCTACGACTGTAGGCAATTTTTCCTAAGAAGTGCTTCCCGCTGTAGTTGTGATACTTCGTCCTTTAATAGGTCCTGCTGTTGTTGTCTTGTATTATATTCCTACAGTAATTCGTCTTGTTAATACTTCCCTCTCTAGTACTGCCTCCTGCAGTATTTTCCGTTAGTACATCCTCCTGAAGAATATATGGTATTGTATTTTGCAGTATTTCCACTTGCATGCAATACTCGTTCCTGCAGTAAATTCTCCTGTGCTACTTTTTCCTGCCATACCGTACTTTTTTCTGCTAAACGCTATTGTGCAGCACTAGCTAATCTCGGATTTATTGTTTTGACCTTCATCTATTAAACTGCTGCTCCACCATTTGTGTCAGTTTGACAGAAGTCGTCTGGAAATATCATCATTCCTGTTTATTTAACTTGATCTGTAATAAGCCTCGACACTGACTTCGCCTTTACCCTACTGTCACTAACGTTATTAAGTGCCGTTATAAAATACCACTGTTTCACTTATGTCGCACCTTCATCTTGGAAGTGCCAAAATCGAATTTTTTAGTCAGATTTTTGCAGCTTTGAAATCATGTTTGTTGTACCATCCAACCTAAACGCTTGTCAGACCTGTTGAAAATGTTTTTTTTTTTTTTTCACAGCGGCTGTGAATTGATGGCAAGCAATTTCATTACCGCGGATCGACTTGAGAGTCGTTAAGGTGCCAATAAGCCTGATCACTACTATCCATTCTCTACAGATTGGCAAGTCGCTCTTTGACGAGGAAGGCGCGCAAATAGTCAGGCGCCTCGTGGAAAAGGCCAAGAGCAAGAACGTGCAGATCCACTTCCCAGTCGACTTCGTCACTGCTGATAAATTCCATGAAGATGCTAATGTAAGAAATACGTTTTACTCTCATTCTTACTTGATTCGTAATTATGCGCTCTCCGGTCTAATCCGTTTTATTGTTCTAATTGAAGTTCAAAGAAAATTTTCATGTGTTCTCTCGATCCCACACATTAGTTTAGCTTCAGTTAGTATTTTGTTGGAGTTTATCAAATTATGTTCCTGTTAAGCTTGGTTTTGTTAAAACACTGACTTGGTTATGTTTTGAGGCAGCGTTTTGAGAACACTGATAATTCAAATAATTATAATTGTTTTCTTAACAAGCGGAAGTTCATGAATTTTATTGAAATACATAAAAAATTGGATTAAATCGCACGCATATCTGCATGATATACCAATATGTGACGCATCGTGCCAGTGACATCGTGCATGTGAAGACGTGTGAATTTGACACAAACCATGTGTATGTGACACATCAGGCTTGTAAACACATTTATGTGACACCCCGCGATTTTAAAGTAAACACATGTGTATGTGACACAAACGATGTGTATATGACACATAGTGCTTCTAAACACGTTTCTATGTTGCATAAACGATGTGTGTGACATATCGTGTTTGTAAAGTAACTTACGGCGTGCGCAGACCGGCACGGCGCGCACGGTGGGCGGCGGCATCCCAGCGGACTGGCAGGGCCTGGATTGTGGCCCCGAGAGCGTGGCCGCCTTCACGCCCGTCATCCAGCGCGCCAAGACCATCGTCTGGAACGGCCCTTGCGGTGTCTTTGAGTTCGAGAAGTTTGCGGGCGGCACCAAGGCGGTCATGGACCTCGTTGTGGCCGCGACGGCGGCCGGCGCCACGACCATCATCGGTGGCGGCGACACGGCCACGTGCTGTGCCAAGTGGGGCACGGAGGATAAGGTGTCTCACGTGTCCACGGGCGGCGGTGCCTCGCTTGAGTTGCTTGAAGGTGATTTGCCGGTGTCCACCTGACCAGAAGTGGTTAAAGTCAACTGAAATGTGGTCCTTCTATAAATGATATCCACTATTGAAAGTATAGTGTGTACCAAGGATTTGTTTAAAATGTGATAAATTTTGGTTATTTCCTTGAAAATCCACCCGTCTTTCCTTTTGCGAACTAAGTTATGAAGTGATTTCGACATTATTAAATGTTATTTGAGCTCAGAATAAAGCTTGACTTTAGATGGATACAAAGCACTACTTTAAGTTTGTAATTCAAGATGTTAGAAGTTTAGTTCTAAACATTGCTTCCCTTTATGCAGGCAAAGTGCTACCCGGAGTGGCTGCTCTGTCTGATGCCTAAACCAAGTGCGTTGCTCACACCGCACGTCCGACGAAGTCGTCACCTCCATAACGATCGTCACTGTAGTCACCCTTCATCCGACGTCACGATGTCTCTGCCCAGCTTCACTATTATAAGTCAAACATTATACTCAAGTTTCTGTTGAACAATATCGTGAAATGGGCTGGTAGATTTGCGTACACCATTTTGTTTTGTGCTGTGAATTTCTTTGTTTGTAACCTCTAAATATTTTATTCACATACATGCGATATAGAGGAGGAGCACATTGTAAACTTTAAGACTCAGTTCAATTTAATTTAGAAAATTTTTTCTTTAATCGATTGAGAGGGTGAGTATAAAATGTTAAAATACTGCGATTAGGGGTACCACATTCTAAGAAACTTAGATGATCCTTTCCTCGTTACTTGGTGCATTTTCAAACATTAGTGTGATTTTTCAATGCTGTAGAACAAATTTTATCACATCTGCGATAGGAAAGTGTGAGTTTCTTTATAATTAGACGGTAATATGTCAACGTTATTGTTCAGTAGAAATGGCACAGACCGCGATGCGTTACAGAAGAATCGAGAGCTGTCAAAGACATTCGTTTTGAAGTTCTCGACTTAAGGAACAGTGATGCAAAAGGTGGCTGCCGGATGTGTTTGTTTCAGTTTCCTCAATATTGTGCACGATTGTTAAATTTAATGGCGATATTTTTCTGTATTGGCTGTTCGACAGTTCCTGAATACCTACTCATTCGTAATTAGAAACCTGCGTTGGTTTGAAATTTAGAGTTGTTTGAAATGTTGTGAACTTGTAGTGCTTGAAGAGTTACATTCGGCGACGTAAGTTAACCTAACTTGATAGCCCAGAGAAAGATTTTGTTCATCACTAAGCTAGTCATAAAGGAAAATACGGTTTGTTATTCCTTCTGAATATAATTCGACTAAACAAGGATGCTATATATTTTACTATGTTATTGTGTTACTCTCATTAGATGTATTTATTATTTCATAACTTCGCTTGGCTAAAAAATTTCTTCATCATCTGAACAAGACTTCTAGATTTTGTTGTGCTTTTGTTCAGTTGGCTGCTCAGGTCATATGTTGATGGATTGCATTTTTAGTTACAGGGATAAGAAATTTGCCATTAGAGGTTGGTTACTTACACTATTGCCGAGATTAAATTGTGATAAGTTATTGAGTTTTACTGTGAATTTTACCTCCACTCGATTTATGTAGTTGACCAAACAATTGTGAGTTCGTTTAGAATGTTTGACGCATCAGAATTCTATGATTTGCTACATATCAGAAGCACTTGCTCCTGAATGAGCGGAGGGAGTTTCCATGTGCTCTAAAAATTCGGCCTTTGACGACATGCCAGTATAAGGCGGGATGCAAAGAATAGCCTCCAAATTTCAAGAGCGTACAATTTCTTCTGGCTGAATATGGCGTAAAATTTTTACAGCATTTATCCATTGTTCAACAAATACGAGCCAGCTTGCATCATCAAAATAGACGTGCCGCTGAGAGGACGCATTGACGCCACGCATCTTAGCGCTAGCCATGTCAATCCTAATACTCGTGCTGAATCAGTGGCTTTGAAGAGGATTTAACCTCTAAACAGCGCAAAAATGAGTATTTACTTCAAATTTCTTTTTATTAATGCGAACTTCAGAGGTGATGCTCGAGAAAGGAAAACTGGAAATCATCTTCGTTCTCTGCTCTGTGAAATTATAAAGAAGACTTGAGCTCCTACAATAATTTTACCGTACTATGAGACGGCTAAAATTTTTAGGACCTGCAACAAATGAGCAGCAATAGACTTCTGGTCTTTTGATATGAGCGTTGATGGACTTTTAAGTCTTTTGACATGAGCGTTGATGGACTTATAAGTCTTTTGATATGAGCGTTGGTGCCAACTGGAATATAGTCTTGGCAGCGCCGTGTCACGTAGACAAGCAGACACGCCATAATTATTTTGCTTGGAATAAGTGATGATATAGCCTGATCTTAGTCCAAAAGTTACCCGAAAACGCTTAATTTTATGAGTAAAGTTTCATTTCATGAGTAGGGCAATGAGTGACTGATGAGCGGCGCCATTGAAGGCTGGAAGGGCGTCAGATGTTCCCAAGACATTTGCCATGGCGTTGGGCGGATCGAACTGCTGGTGCGACACGACCATTTGAAGTACTAGCGTCTATGATGAAATGCTAAATTCTTCAAATAGCGGATTTTAGTCTTGACACGATCAGCACTTGATATTTTCAACTTGTAGTTTAAAATTCTGATTTCCGTTCGTCGTTCATGTAACTATAGGAAGTATTCAGTCAGAGTTCAAATTAATCCGTCATGAAATTAAGAATAACCTAAATTTTAACAATGACGAATTTCATATTCTTTAATCAGATACTTATGGCACTGTTCATTTTATCTTGTTTAAGTTTTGTTGTTCAAAAAAATGTAAATTCTAGATATGAATCTGACCTGAAATTATATTTTTTTGCAGCCCAATGTCAGATATGCTGGTTGAAAAACATTTCTGTGCTATCCAGGCTGATAATTATTTGAAAATGAGCTCAATTGAAACAAACGTCTACTTAAAAATTATTTACTATCATATTATCAACTGTTGAAGTTAAACACAACATAATTTATTCCTTCCCATTTTTCACCCGCGTAGGAGAAGAGCATCTTCTCTCATCACACGTGTTTCCCTGTATTCATTGACAGCCTCAGAATCACGGTAATAATCACGACGAATATCACCCTCGAGTTAGCAATGAATGGAGCTAAGATTTCAGGAGCGATTAACCTCAATTCACGCGAAAGGGATCTGAATTTCTGAATGGAGTCTAAATTGGGAGCATAGCTAAATTTATTAAAACATTAAACTGCGTGTCATTGAATTAAGTTTAAAGTTACTGCAGTGACCTGAACATCGTATGCAGCTGAGAGTTCTATCAAATAAAGTAACCCATCGATTAGTTTTGTTTGAAATGCTAATAATTTTAACGAATTTGATGGTTTAAATGGCTCGGTTGCACAGTAAAGGATGACTGACTATCGATTTGTTGAGATCGATTTCGCGGTGTCTCTGCTGGTGATGTGAGAAAAAAAAGGATTGCCGACTGACGGTAACACTTTCCTCATCTTTTATTACGTACCTGCTGTTAAATTTTGCACAATATTGTGTGTTCGCTTTGAGCTTCGAACTTAATAACTTTCTACCCATTTTTCGAAGAAAAATTTCTATTCTACGCCATTATGACAATATCTCTGAATCTACTAATTCCTACCATATTTAGTGAAAGATAATGAGTTTTAACAGATTTACCAGGGTTGACATATGTTATAGATGCGAGAGGTCTAATCTTAACTAAAAAAAGGCTAATGACTTCAACCCAGCAGGTTCAGTGTATAGCAGAACAATTTGTCTGAAAAATTATTAAATCGATTATTATTATTAATTATTAATCGATTATTAATTATTAACGTGATTAAATAAACCTGTTGGAACTGCCTAGCATGCAGGTCCGACAATGCCTTTGTAGTACAAGAACTTTTTTCCATGATTCAGGGACCGAGAATATTTTAGTACCATTAAATAATATTTATATAGTGCTGACGGCCAAATTAAAAAAATTGTAAACAGCGGGCCAGCGATAAAATCTTAGAGCTTTCTTATAGATCAATGGCCTTAGAATAAAAATTTTTTCAAGCCAAAAAGTATAAGTGAACTTTTGTGATAAATTGCTCAGCTAACAGCTCCTGCGCGAATGAAGCATAAATCGAGGCGAATTTCGATTCCTCCAACACAACTAATATATTAATATAAAGATTCGAAATAATAAATATAAAAGTACGAACACTTTTCAATCTTTATTGGTAGTACAAGAAGACTATAACCGAATGCAAATAAAAGAGAGAAAAACCACAGCCCTCATATCATAGCTTATTTCGAAACTTGAATACAAGCGTGGCAGAGTTTCTCACAGAGTTTCTGCTGGCCTTGCTATTTATTATTTCTATTATTCCATTAATAAAAGATGACAATCTGTGAAACCGACAACTTATACTTTGATTCATGTTGTCAGTTCTTGTTGTTGCTGTTGCGTGTTTCAGACTGAACGCAGATTGCGCAAATTATGTAGTTAAATACCGTGTCGAGCTTTTAGCTTTATGTCCTGCTAATGAAGCAATTGAAGGAACGGTAGGGAGTCTTTCCATGGCTCGTATATAAGATAACGAAATGAACCTGAGGCTTTCATTCCCATTTTGTGACCTGTCAGGCGTCCTCTAGCTGACATGATCCGACCGCTACCATTCACCCTTCTGGTAAGCTTGGCTCTCTGGTAAGCTTGGCTCTCTGGTAAGCTTGGTACTCTGGTAAGCTTGGCTCAGGTAAGCTTGGCTCTCTGGTAAGCTTGGGACTCCGGTAAGCTTGGCTCTCTGGTAAGCTTGGTACTCTGGTAAGCTTGGCTCTCAGGTAAGCTTGGCTATCTGGTAAGCTTGGCTCTCTGGTAAGCTTGGTTCCGTAGTTTATACTCGAACTCTATAAAGTAATAACTCTATCGCGGTCTTTCGTCGTCTTGTAGCTTACTGAGGGCTCACTCGCACTGCCTCCAGTGTTTGGAAAAGTGGTAGACCGGAAAGGGCTACCGGACACTGGGATGGGGAGCGGGTCTAAGTTGTGGGTTTAGTCTGTGCCGGCCGAGGTCTAGAGAGATGGTCTACAGTGAGTAAAAGAACGTATAAGACGGTCAAGATAAATTATGGCTGAAAGGAATACTTTATTTGCAGTGATAAGCACATATTAGATGATCAGGATAAATAATCATGGCTAGAAAGCATAATTCATTTAATCGCTTTCATTAATCCTTTCTGTCTAATTCCAAATATTTATTTTGCGATCCGCAAGCTCTACTTCCCAATGCCAGGCAGAAATTAATAATAGGCTGCTTAGGTTGTATATAATTTGATCATCAATACCTTCGACGAGGCTGCTGATTAAGAGAAGTCAGTTGTACGGAATAATAGAATAAGGCCAAGCCTAAATATGTATAGGTATCGCTAACTCCATGGACAGATATGTTAAAATTTTTATTTCCTGATTACTGTTGTCATTCAAATTTTATTTATTTACAGAAATACTTGCATTGTGCGCAATACTTGCAGTGTTAAAGTATGCTAATTCTGATTCTCTAATTGATGTGAACAAAGAACAGATATGTAAGGACAACTTTATTCTAACTCTGCATTAACTCCGAAGACCTATAAATCGAAAATTCATTCATTATATTTCCTTGGAAATTCATTATAAATATTACTACATAACATTGCATTTATTATATATTGTTCTTTATTCATAATTTATTATAAATATTTGTATTTATCATTGTATTTAATAATTTAATATATATTATTCCTTAATCTTATCATTTATCATTGATACGGAATTTCACAGATTAATTAATTAATGACAGCTATCATAACATAACACCATGGTTGAACTAGTATAAGGTTGACCCATCAAGAAGCCCATTTTTGCGGATGAAGTTCGTTGTTCGCCCGTGACGTCACTGATCTCAGTGACGTCACGGGCATTAACCAATCACCAAAATGCGTTCAAACCAGTCAACCAATCCGTCATGGGAATGACGGGTTTGTTTACGTTTCTCGATCTCAGTGACGTAATAAGAAAGCTGAACTGAAAGACGGAGCTTCTCGTGGGTCAACCTTATATAGTTCAACCATGACATAACACAATTAACCTCCCTACAGGCGGGCGTCGTCTGCCTTGTGGCCGTGACTCTGCCAGTGATGCGAGGACGCGCGTCTGCGATGTCCATGGCGCAAACGCAGGGCAGGAACATGGATTACAGCGGCGACTCTGACGTCATCGTGAGTGTCGTGTAGTTGTTCTACTATCTTGGGATGTTGGTCACCACTTAGTCAATGATAAAAATTTCGCGTCGGAACAGTTGACAAGGTTATGAAAATAATTTTCAGTTCATTGGCAAACACTTGAAGGTCTGGCAGGAATCTACCCTAACCTCAACCATTCAACCAACCTTCAACCTTCCCTCTCTTTAAATTTGCTCATACGCGCTTCCTAAATTCCACCACATTTCATGAGAAATTCCAAGTAATAAAGCTTAATAATAAAAATAAGTCAAAATATCAATATATATAATAAATCTTAATAATAAGGAAGCTTAAATAATAAAGTTTGATATACTGTAGCTACAGGAGCTCAGCCAGCCATTGATCACGTAGAAAACATTACTAATCTATTATCAACCTCAAATACTGTGATATTTTAATTCATATATGAGGAAATGACTGGAGAAACGACGGATGGAGAAAAAGGCGAAGACGAGACGATGTTAGCGGACTCGCCTCACTGGGCCAGCCACACCCACCGACACAGCAGCCCAGCTCTGCTGCTCGGGGCACGCTTCGCTCAGGACAATCTCGTGGGTTACCGTCTAGTGTGTCCTTCTGGTCAAGATACTTTAGCAATAAAATGATTCACATTATGAAAGTATTCAATGATGCTAGATGAATGTAGATTTAATAATAAAAATGTTATATAATATATCAATATATAAGTAATACAATTAATATTATATATGCTTCAAAAATTTTGAAAATTTCTAAATTTCTTATTTATAATTTTTTCAAGTTTAATAATTTTTCAACAATCGCTTAAACATTAATTGCTTGATGCGCCAATGTACAAGAGGAAATCAATTAATATTTTTCGCTGCACAAATTAGCAGACGAATACCTATATATAAGAAGATGAGGTACGGCCAACATGTTCTCAATTGGGCTATGAACTCGATTTCTTATCACGATTTTCACGGCAGTATGACTGTTGAAACAGTCTTGCTGATGCACTCCTCATTATATATTACTGTTGCAGCCGGACAGGAAAATCCGCATTGTTGTTATCAGCCCATCTCTATTCAGTCCCTCCTTCACAGACACTATACATGTATATACCCAACAAGCACCTGGCGCGGAATAAGCGTTGAATTAAACGTTGATTCAAGAAAACATTCAGGGGCCCTGAGTTGCCGATTTTACCCAATACGAAACAACGTTGAATTAAACGTCGTTACAACGAAAAAACGTTGAATTAAACGTTGATTCACCGTAACAACGTTGAATTAAACGTTGATTCACCGTAACAATGTTGAATTAAACGTTGATTCACCGTAAAGGTGCTTGTACACGGGGACAGTACTGGCGGAAAGTAGATCGGAAAAATGCCAAATGTCTGCCGCTTGGTGTCTATCCCGCAAGTAAGCTTAGACACGAGGTAAGTTTAAGGTGCCGCCGTGCCGGTAACGACTAGATTCCGTCACAGCAGCACCTTAAATTTGTCTCGTGTCTAAGCTTACTTGCGGGATAGACATGCACCAAGCGGCAGACATTTGACATTTTTCTGATCTACTTGCCGCCAGTACTGTCCCCGTGTACAAGCACCTTAAGATATCTATTCTTTAACTGCGTGGTTGCATGTTCAGGTGGCGGTGCCCATGGCCCTGGTGCACACGTCGCAGGCGCTGCAGCAGGACGTTAACTGCTCCAAGGTGAGAGCATCGCTCCACTCCAACTCCCTCACGCCCTCCATGCTGCTCCAGCCTCCATGGCTCCACCTCTCGCCCAGGTGATCTATTAGTGTAGGTATAAGAAAAGAAAACTGTCAAAGCGGCTCGTGTTTAATATATACGGATATGTTACAGAATGTTTAAGCTGGGTTTTTCAAAATGAACAGAATATCTCTTAAATTATATCATACAAAAATTTTGATATCGGGTGCAAAGGAAGTTTCCGTCAATGGCATTTAGTTCAGCAAACTTTTAGCAGAGAGCTTACACATTTTTGCGATTCAATTTCATATAAGAATTTTATTACAGGAAAATTGTTTATAAATTCTTCACATTTTTCAACGTGCATAAAAAAATATATTGTAATAAAAAGTCATGTTAGCAGTCGAAAAAAAAAGATTGTGAAACCTACATTTTTTATACGAGGACAGAAGTATTAAATTGCCTGTAGTGCATCATCTTGGAAATTTTTTGACGAGTTTTGGAAGCACGCAGAACAATAAATCTTCACTTACGATCTTTTAAAGTAAGACAGTAGCTTAGAATTAGAGATCCAGGAAGTTTGCCGAAGAATGTTCATTAAAGGAAATTTTATCATCATCAATGTTCAAAATGCTTTTAGCGCATTTTCTCATTTATGGAAATAATGCACTATTGTGCTCGCCATGTCCGTCTGTCCGTCCGTTTGTCCGTGACCTCAAGTTTTCCTCGATGAGAAAATGCGCTCTCTGTCACACACTGCAGTGAGTACTGAGTTATATTTTTTATGCATGAAGATGATTCAAACACATTCAACAGATATATTGCTTATAATTTTAGGCTTCGCTATCTCCAGGTAGACGTATATGTTGTCTGTCCATTTGTTTTCAATGAATAAATTTCAGTAATGGTTTGGGTGCAATGTGGTATTTTGCACTGTCAAGTAAACTAGTAGCTAATGTGACATTATCGCATTAGCGGGACAATAATATCACGCCAATAATAATAAAAATATAACTCAGTACTCAATGCAGTGAGTGACAGAAAGCGCATTTTCTCGTCGACGAAAACTTGAGGTCACGGACAGACGGACAGACAGACTGACAGACGGACATGGCGAGCACAATAGTGCATTATTTCCATAAATGAGTAAATGCGTTAATAACAATAATAATAATTATCATAATAAACTGTGTTGGCTGCCGCTGCAGGGCTACCAGGTGCTGCAAGCCATCATTCCGGGCATCAATGAGTGAGTCTACCTTGGTATATTTAAGCATTAATAATAAATAATAATACTAATTATAGTGAAAATAATGCTAAAATGAGAATAAATAATAATACCAATAATAATAATAATAATAATAATCATAAAATAATAATAATTATTATAATGATAATAATAATAATAACAATGTGATATTATTACCAGCCTCGGTAGCTGCCCGACTCAGTATGTTGTTCGTCACCTCGGTCCCAACACGAGTCCCTCAGCCCTGCTAGAGGCGCGGTGTCTCTGTAAGGGCGAGCCTTGCTCCAACGAGGGTCACCAATGCGTTCCAGTGTCTCGTCAGGTGCGTGAGTGTTGCATGTGTCATGCGTGGCTTGATACATGTCTGTTTTTAGCGCATTTTCTTATCTATGGAAAAAGGCGCTATTGTGCTTGTCATGTCCGTCCGTCCGTCCGTGACTAATATCCGTCCGTCCATCCGTGACTGATGTACTGAGTGCAGTGCAATATACTAATCGCAATGAAAACTGATTCATGCACGAGAAAATACGCTCTCTGTTACTCACTGCAGTGAGTACTGATCTAATTTTTTAATAATATCAAGCATCGTTTCAGATTATTAAATTGTATGAATTATTAGATTTGAAAACTAGAAAAAAGCATTTAGCACTCCACATAAAGCCTACGGACTCCTTCACATCTAGTCCGTTAGGGCAAAGACGTTGCAGTAGATGTTTTGACATAATACGATCGAAATGTTATCATGCGTATCGGGAGCTAAGGGAGAATTTTCTAAGTAAAGGAAATTATATGAAATAAATTAAGATTGCCAGGCGAGGGCTGATTTGATTTAGAACCATAGAACTATAGTAGCAGGTTTCAAAAGATACGGAGCAAGAATGTCGATTGTAAATTAAAAGTGAAGTAACCAGAAGCGTTCGGATGACGGCTGGTCTTGTATAAAAACAAGGCCGATTTTAGCATAATTAAATGAAGTAGGATTAACTTCACACGGGTTTTCATTCACTGTAACACTTTGTGAAATAGCCTGAGTTTTTTATTTAAAGCTTCCACTGGCCATATAACTGAGATGTTGGTTAGGATGAATGACTTAAAATAAATGATTAATTACTTGCATAAACTAATATATTTCTTTTTGAATAATATAGATTATATAGATTATAATATATTACAATATATTATATTATATATATTTGATATAGATAATATAATAATAATTGTTCAATAATTCGTATTTGAGTCATATACATATTGAAAACTACATATATTGGTGAATTATAAGTTCCAAGAATAATTACATAATTAGTCCTCCAGTCCGATAAAAATGCTAAGAATGATCTCACCATTGCGTGCGTTTCAGGTGCCGGTGCTGCACGGCAGAGGCGCCCCGTCCTCAAGATCGCTGTCCCTGCAGGAGGTGGTGGTTGGCTGCGCCTGCGTGCTGCGGCCCGGGCTGATGGCTGACTACGTCCTGTCTCCCTGGCTCCAGAACTGAGTTATTATCGCTTGAAAATGTTCAGGAATATTGATTTAATGATTACTGAATTTCTAAGGACTGTGTTCGTTAATTAAATTATTTATTCAGAATCAGGTGCACTGCAGAAATTTCGCTCATAAAGAGCATTTCATGGATAAAATGAGCACATGGGACATGATTGAAGCACTGAAATGGATTAAATTCGTATTCAATTTTCACTGTGAACAATGACTCTAAGTGTATCTAATGGCGGAATTTTATTAAAGGCTGTCTTTCGTAATATTTATATAAACACATGAAAAACTTTAGAGCTAAATATTCTTTCTCGAGCTGACAACTTTCACTTGCGAGATTGATGTGTATTAACATAAATGGATTCGCACTAAGCGAACTCCAATAACTCGTCTCGCCTTGCGTTTTGAATAATCATAACTAAGTTCTGGACCTGGACAACTGGAATTGCCGCCTTGTTGAAAGGATACGGCAACTTTAATACGTATGCACCGCAATGGAAACTTATCGACTAATTGATGGCGTTTTAGCGACCTTTGACAAAATGTCATTTCTTTTTTTTTGTTTCGACAGACATTTAGAATAAATGAGCTGGTGAATATCATATGGCCAGAGCAGATTACCATAGACCCATTTAATGGTATTTCAAGTACTTCAATTGTGTCACCAGAAACCTGACCGGAGAGTGATATTGTTTATTCTAAAATGGTCGCGTGCTTCATTGCTGATTTCGTCCTTCGGCAGAATAAAATTTTAATAATTAATTCGTTCCAGACCGTACTTTTATAATGATCAAATTAGAGATAATTTGGTACCTGCGCGGATAGTTGGGAATCCTTTTATGCAGAGGTTGGAAAAGGAATCTGAAAATGTTTATAGATCACAATATATATTTTTAGAAACATCTAAGACATCTTTTGCGGCGTTGAATCAAATAATCTTTGAAATGACACATACAATCTATGTACGGCGGTCAGAGACTAAAAAGTTATTCTTCATGCAGTATAGTGGCCGGGTCACGGTGTGATGTTGCTGGAGGGAAATGTTGGGTTGTCCAGAATTATTCAGCAAGAAACCCTAAAGTAGCACAATGAAATTTAGATCTGGTATCTGTGCTGGTGCAGCTTAGCTTAGCGTGAACTCTACAGCTTCTCTATCCACGGTGTTATATGATTGGCTTTAGATAATCGGAAACTATTTAGTCACCTTTCAAATTTAGAGTTCACGCTCCGCATAAACTAATTTCTTTCCTTTGCAAGAAACGAAGATTGGTCACCAGAGATCACGCGATAAAACTTCCCTTACTGAACGGATAAGTATTTCAATTTCATAATCCAACCTTTGCATGTCAGAAGAAATAAGTGCCGATCTGAAAGTCGTGGTAAGAAGAATCAACAAGCAAGTCAGAAATAGCCTTCATTTTTCTAGGGTCCAAATCAATTGGCTTATCCAGCATTCCTCAAGAAAACAACAGTGCAGTTTCTAACCCTTATTTATGCAAAACATTATGTATTGTGTAGCATATTTACATTTGAACATCAGCGTCTTTGCACTAAGATTGCTCCTAACTATTTTCTCTTACGGAAGCCTGTCGGGATCTCTAAGAGCATTTACCTAAAATTGAAATAGAGTCTCATTGAACATGTTCTTGAATGGGTACGAGTGAGCAGTATTATCAAAGGATAATAAAATTGAATTATCGATGATCAAATTTTCTACTTAATTAAGATAATTTATTTCATTTTAATATCTATAAGATACCAGTATTTATGAACGATTAGTTCTTCGGCTTGAATATTATCTATTAGTAGATAATGTTGATATAATTTTTACAACTCTATCTATAATGGATGTTGGCGCCGAATACGGTAATCAGAACGAATAAATGCTGTAAATTTACTGTTTAAAAAACGTGCACTTAAATTCGTAAATATTCAGTATCGATAAGCAGCAAAGCCTTTAAATTCCATTTTAAAATACTCTTATAGAACTTAATGCTCTCCTCTGTTAAGCAAAGGCTTCTGGAAATAAACGGGCGTGCAATCCTCTTTGTTTTGCTTTCAACGCTGGGATTTTCCTCATTATTTTCATCGTCAATATCATCATAATCAGCATCATCAACGCAGGGTAACTATTATAGGCGAATGTAATAAATGTCTCGTACGTTTATTCTCTTATACGGTCACAACCACAGCTTTATTAAGACTCTATAAGAGGGATTCTTTATTAAGAATCTCTCAACTCAATACTTACGGCATTAATTTCACATTATGGGACTATGAGCGGATATATATACGTGCACTGAATATAAGGCGAAAAATTGAAAAAGTATTCTCACTATATCTAATCCTGAAACTTAGCTTTTTTTCGAAATACATTTATTTTAACTGGATAGTTTACGTTTTGTGTAGCATTTCAAATAGCTTTAATCGACGCCTGAATATTCAGTCAACCGATCAGATGGCAGCCCAGGTAATACAAAAACATTACTGCTCCACTTTGTCATTTGTGCCGCGTCGTCAAAGTCTACGTAATTGCTTCGAAAGATCGATACAACTTGCGACATGAAAGCGACCGGGTCTCCAACTGTTCAAAATTCCTCGACTGCGTCATGTAAATATTTTGCTAAAGTGGTTTCTGAACAAAAAAGGGATCTTTTGTATCATAGCGAGGCTCATTACAACGAAATTAACGTGGGTCGCAAAACTACACAGCTTGACACCTCCTCTTTCCTCTAATTAAAGCCAAACTAGTTATAAAACTTCCCCCCTTTATTTACTGACAAAAATGGTGCACCGCTGCTGTCAACAACGGCAAGGAGGAGCCTTAGTCGTCGCTCACAAAGGCCTCGAGGAAATTTGAGCGCTGCAAAATTTCCTTTATATGGACAATAATGAATTTTAGAAAATTGACTTTATTTTAATTATCTTTTTTTTTCTAGCACCGGACTTCGCACCGAGAGTTTATATTCTTTAGTCTGGATGACTCAGATAATGAAATTTTCAGGTTAGCCAAAATTCCGTTGCATATCTAGTTCGAATCTAAAATTTGTTGGCACGTTGGTTGTCTTGTTTCACAAATGCTGAGCTCGAAGCAGGAGTGTAATATGTGACGCTGTGCCCTGAAACGTCAAAGTCGGGCGAATTTAAATTTTAACGAAAGTCTCACTTCTGACCGCCCGCCAAACAACGAATTGGTGTACTTTATGCAGAACTTTCCGCACTGCAGCCTTTGATCAAGTTTGAGTCAATGTGTGACATTGTATTTTTTGAAGTCCTAACTTGATACAGTAGAGACAGAGTAACGATGGGGGCTTGAGTCAAAGAGACGGAGGCTTGCAGTGCAAAATATATATATTTTTTTCAAATAGAACGGCTCATGATCTTTAATTATTTGCTTTGCATTTTCTACTCTTCTCTTTCAATGTGCGGTTAATTATAGCTTGCTGTTCACTAATTATCTTTTATTTCTCTACCTCACTTCCAGCATATTTTGCTACTACTTTCAAATTAGCATACCAACATTGTCACCTCATAATCCAATTGTCTCATACTCCAATCTCTCGTCTTGGGCGCTCTTCCTTCGTGTAATGCCGCGACATTGCTAGGGTCTATGAGCCCTGCTGCCCAGATGTCAGCATGTGACACGCAGGGTCTATGAGCAGTGCCACTGAGATGTCAGCATGTGACACGCACGGTCTATGAACAGTGCCACTGAGATGTCAGCATCTGACACGAAGGGTCTATGAGCAGCGCAGCCCAGATGTCAGCATGTGACACGCAGGGTCTATGAGCAGCGCCGCTCAGAAGCGAATGTGTGATTAGTCGCAAGTTTTGCGGAGCGTAAATTGCGTATGAATAGGCAATGAATGACTGGGTCTCTTTGCAACAGCACACTCCGGTGCCAATGAAAACAGTTAAAGGGGAGTTGGAGAGCAGGGAATACGAATTTGAATGAGATAATAATTTGGTTAAAGGCAATCATCAAAATCTATCCGCATCTCAGTGTGAATGTATTCTCGATAGCAATGTAACGTTTCAGGCTCAAGATGTCTGTTTGAAATATTAAAGTAAATGAATTATTTCCGGTTTCTACCTTTCTTGGATTTGACATTAGAATAGAGACGATTTATGACATAAAAAGCTGATGTACATTGCTAAATTGAATTGAGATGACTTGAAATAATGTTTCGGATGTTTCAAGAATTTAGTGATTGTATCTAAAATTCAAATTTTCTGTTATTTTTCATGGCGAATATCAAGCTGGATACTTAAAGAAATCTCTCAGTCCTTTTCAATGATCAAAGCAACCATCACTAATGATGGTAAGCATGGTAACCATCACTAATGATGGTTGCCTTTATTCATTATCAAAATCATTTATTACCATTATTAGTATTTTTGTTGCTTCTACTTTTCGATCAAAATTCAATCTACGCGGCTTGAGAAAGACCTTTTTTAAATAAGCGTAAGACAAATTTGTGATAATAGATTGTCTTATAAATAAAATATGTCATATAAATTATCCTTCACCGTTAATACACTTGGATTTAAAGTCTGTTTCCTCATTAGCGATAACTTTATAAAAACTTGAACTTGTAAATTAACACCTGGGATTACATCCCAGCTTTCCAAAGGAAAAGTCGACGTGTAGGAGTTTTTCACAATAAATTTCTAAAGCAATTAAAGTTTTTTCTTCAGCCAGTGAGCAAAGGGCGTTTCAATTAACCTAGCTCAACTGTACTGAATTAGAGTCTGTACCTTTTGTGCTATTGATAAAGATTTGACGCTCAAAAGTTTTAATTGTCGCTTAATTTTTTTCCTAAAGTTTGGCTATCAAAACTAAAATGATATATTTCATGTGTTGCAAGTAATTTTGTCATTGAAGACTCTGTTTTTCTTTTCTATAATTGCTGATTTCTTTTCTCTTGATAAAATATAAGGGTGAGGAATTTATTTTATTCTAAAATGTATCATCTTATGAAAGAAACCGATCGTAAAAGTCCA